AAATTTTAAAAAAGTTATTTATTTATTTATTTATCTAAAGATTGGCACCTGAGCTAACAACTGCTGCCAATCGTTTTTTCTTTTCTCTGCTTTTTCTCCCCAAATCCCCCCAGTACATAGTTGTATATCCTTGTTGTGGGTCCTTCTAGTTGTGGCATGTGGGACACCGCCTCAACGTGGCCTGATGAGGGGTGCCATGTCCACGCCCAGGATCTGAACCAGCGAAACCCTAGGCCACTGAAGCAGAGTTCATGAACCACTTGGCCACTGGGCTGGCCCCTAAAAATTTATAACAGCCAAAAAAAAGTCCACAAGGTGCCTAGGAACAAGTCTAACTTATAAATAAAGGTAATGGATACATAACGAACAATATTATAAAATTTCATTAACAGAAAATTTCATTAAAAGAAAACCTAAAACAATAGAAAGAGACACTATATTCATGGATGGGAAGTTTCCATGTTGTAGACATAAATTTCTCCAAAATTAATCTTTAAATTCAATGCAGGTCTACAAGCTTGTGTTTGTGAAGGGATGTTTGTATGTGTGTATATGTGTACATATATAAACCAATAATGTAATTCTAACAACCATAGGGAAAAACAAATGGCCAAGAATAGCCAGGACAACTTGAGAGGAATAAAAAGAATTATAGCAGGACAGTCCCTCATAGAAATTGACTTCTTATAGAGGTATAGTGATTAAGATGGTATAATTTTAATTTAGACTTGAGAACCAAAAAGCAAGCTGAAACTTGCTTTGGAAAGTCACGAAATTTGGGAAAGGTTAAAATTGAGGCAACTGCGCAGGTAATAAATAAGGACACATACAAAGTCATATTATCATAACATTTCAGAACACTAGGAATAACGAAACATCCTAAAGCCTTCCAGAGAAGGAGGGAAAGATTATAACAGAAGGATTGAGAATTAGAATGGCATCAGATGTCTCGATAGTAAATTAAGACAATGCAATGCCTTCTAAATTGCAAAAGAAAAATAATTCAAAATCTATAATACTACGTCCAAATTACCAATCAAGTATGAGGATAGAAATGAAGACATTTTTCAGACATGCAAGATGATGAAGTATTTACTTCCAATGGAACTTTTTCAGGCAGCTACCACCAAATGAGGAGCAAGACAGACATGGGATCCAGGGAACAGAGGATCCAGAGAGCAACACAGTAAATTCCACGATGATGAGGAAAGGCAGAGCTGGGATGATAGCTGGGCAGTAGGTTTACAGAACAGTCTAGATTAGAATGGGAGAACGCAAGACTCAGTATAGATATCTCCAAATGATAAAAGGGAATCACTAAGTTATTTAATGTGTCTGAGGGGGAAAGAAATTGCTAAATTACTTAATGTGTCGTGGAGAGTGTGGGGATAAATTAGTGAGCTACACAGAAAATTAGGCAAGGCAAAGTGGTCACTTACTCCAGGGAGAACAAAAAGTTGTTCAAGAAAAGAAATGTAACTAAAATAAACTGCATGGCACAGCTATGAATGATTGGTATAATCTCATAAAAAAATGAACAGGATTTAATAAAAGATTATGTATTAATTACAGTGGGAAGATAGAGAGGAAGTACACGGGTTGGGTGAGATGGGGGTAAGAGACCTGAATCTTCATCTTCCATGGGAAATTAATAGATAATATCTAAAACTAAATAATCAAGAGACAGTAGTTCAAATATGATAAAAAGAAATATGTAACAACATATGAAACAACAAAAGAAACAGTCAAAAGATAAGTGTCTGCCTCTAGTAAAGCAGATTTGGAGGTGGGGAGAGCTACAATAAAGGAATGCTGTTTTTCATGGTAAGTCTTCCCAAAATATTTATATATCACTTTGATAAAAAATAAAAATAAAATGGAAATAAAACAAGTAGAAAGAAGGTTTCTTCATCATAATTTTCTAAATGGAGGACCAACACACCACTGTGTCCAGGAAAATTATTTTGAGATCATCAATAAAGAACAGATGACTAGGAAGACACACCAGGATTTCAGGAATAAATTTGACCAAGGGGAACTTCTACAGTCAGAAACAGTACTCAGAGCATTCTGGAATGCATGGGGATTTGGAAGCTTGGGCATCAGACTCCAGGAGAGAAGCCTCGGCTTTGAGTCTGGGGGCTTAGCACATGCAGGTCTGGGGAAACACTACCTCTTCCCCTGGAATTCTTTTTCAGTGTAGCTGCCTCCTCTCTGGAATCGTGGCCCTGACTTTAACCTATGTTTTCTCAACTCAGGCAGACCGTCATGCCCTTCCTCCCTTCTCATGTCCCACCTGGCACTATCCACCTCCCACTTTATAGTTCACACCATGCAGTTCTCCTAGAGCAGTAGAACTGCACGTACCCATCTTACATGGTTTGTGTGACTTTTGTCATCTCTTTTACTTCTACATACGTCACAAACCCCACACGACAATGTTATTACTTTTTCTTTAAAAACCAGAGGCCTTCTATGTAAATTTAAAAAGAAAGACAATACAGTCTTTATTCTTTATCTTATAGATCTTATCACATCTAATATTCTTTATCCTACAGTTCTAGGTATCCAAATGGTATTACTTCTTTTGGCATGAAGGACATTCTTTAGCATCCAGGCCTGCTGGAGATTAATCTCGCTTCTTTCATTTACCTGAAAATGCCTTGAATTCTCCTCAGTTTTTGAAGGATATTTTTGCTTGATATAGAATTCTTGGTTTACAGATTTTTTTCTTTCAGCACTTTAAAGATACCATTCCAAAATCTCTGATGACAGGTCAGTGGTTATTCTTACCATTTTTCCACAGTATGTAATGTATTTTTTCTTCTGGATGCTTTCAATTTTTTTATTTCTCTTTAATTTTCAGCAGTCTAATTGTGACATGGCCAGGGGTGGCTCTTTATAACCCTGAGATACGCTAAGATTCTCAGATCCGTGTTTTTCATCTCATTTGATAAGTTTGAGCCATCAATTCTACAAATTTTACTGCTCCTATCTCATTCTCTTCTCCTAGGATTCCAATTATATGAATCTCTGAGCTTATATTTATTTTGCTCAATCTTTTTCTCTCTGTTCTTCAGATTGGATAGTCTATTGATCTGTCTTCAAATGCACTGGCTCTTCCTTCTCTCATCTCTAATCCACTGGTAACCTCCTCTGAATTTTTTATTTCTATTACTGTACTTTTCAAGTTCTACAAGGTCCATTTATTTTTCTGCTGACATTCCTTACCTGCACAACCTGTAAGACTATATTTTCCTCTGATTCTTTGAACATTTTTACGATGGTTTCATTAAGTCTCTGTCTGCTAAGTCCCACATCTGCGCTACCCAAGTTTCTACTGACTACTTTTACTTTTAACTCTATTACAATCCCTACCCAACCCCTCATTTTTGTTTGGTCTAGTGATTTCTGACTGAATGCTGGTCATTGTCAATAAGACATTGTAGAGAGCGTGGATTCTGTTGTCTTCCTCTGAAGAATACTAATTCTATTTAAGCAGATAAAAAAGTACTGACTGATCTCTTTGAATGTAGGTTGGCTTACAGTTGCACTCTTTGAGGGCAGATTTATAAAAAGTCTAAGATTTGTCTGAAGCCCCTTTGTTTGGAAGACCACTTTCAAACTCTGTGAAGCTTATGAGGACTTGGATCTAGGCTGTTAGACAGGTTTAGAGTAAGTCTTACATGTTACAAAGGTGTTGCCTGTCCCTGCAGGGCTTAAATTCCAATGTACCCTAGCACTGAGTGTTTCTCCTTCAGCACTGCTTGATTTCTAGTAATCTGTTGAATTTTCAAATGGGTAGCATCTACTATTTGGTAAGTCTCATATGGTCTTATGCTGCACATGTACCGCCCCACCTTCATGAGATACCCCCATATGGATACTTTAGGCCCTCTCTGCACAACTCTCTCCTCCCCAGTCTCAAGCCCTGCAGATTCCAGCTGCTTCTGCTAACTCAGCTCTGGTCTCTCCTTCTCACCTCTGCACAACTCCTATACTCTGCTCTAACTCTAGTCAACAGACTGTCCCAATCCTGGGAAATTCTGAGGCTCACCTCATGAATTCACTTCTCTCAGAGATAATAGTCTTGTGCTGCCTGTTGTCCATTGCCTGAAAACAGCTGTCTCAAATATTGCGTCCAGTTTTAGAGTTGTTTATAGTGAGAGGACAGTTTGGTACCAATTACTCCCTCCATCATGGCCAGAGGCAGAAATCATATAATCTCTTTTTTAAAAGTTATCTTCTTAGGATAAATCTTCAGAAGTCAAATTACTGGTCTAGAATAATAGACATTTTCATGGCCCTTGGAATGCATTATCCTAAACTGCTCTCCAAAAACATTTCTGCCAACTAAAATGATATGCATTTTGACTTCTGCTATACAGACAGGAAACTAAAGTAAAAAAAAAACACAAGAAAACAGAGAGCAAAATCAGGGCATACAAACTTTTAAGTAAGTGAAGGAAAACACTTGATGGGCTAGAGTTAGCAGAGCTAAAGCAAATGGTAACATAAAACTGAATCAACTTGAGAATTTTCTTATAAAACTTGAACACTGTCTCAGAAAAACTAGACAACTAGGAAAGAAAGATTAAAAAAAGAATAAAACTGAAGAAGGAGTCACATTTTATTTTTCCATGTGGGATTTATTTTCTTCATCCCTCTGGAACTGTGGAAATATCTCAAGTACAATAATAAACAGTTCAGCTAAAGAAGGAACAAATAAGGGTCTCATAAAAAGCATACTGTATCAATCTGAAGATCATTAATATAAACAGCTGAAAATGGCATATAACTTTATGAACAAGTCCTATTATAAATAAGTATACCTAAGTGCCTTTGTGGAAGAAGGTGGAGCATAGAAAGACAAATGGATTGATGGATGGATGGATGGATGGATAGATAGAAAATATAAATAGATGATTTTTAAAACAAAGAAGACAAGTAGCAAGGGAAAAGTCTGTGGGTTAAAAAACTTAACATTTATCTTTATTTACCGTTCCATCTTCCATCAGCTTCAGACAAGACCCAAAATCTGCTAACCGAATATGTCCATTCATATCCATCAATATATTGTCAGGTTTGATATCCCTGAAAAAGTAGATACATTCAATTTTTAGTTGGGAAAAACAAACATAATCAGTTACTTGGTAAGATAACCTTTTTGTGTGAAAATCTCAACTTCTTTTAAAATTAATACTCTAAGAATATCTATCTTACTACTTTCTGAGTTCAAATCCTGGCTTCAATTCATATTAAAACTTTCTTAAACACAAGCAGTTTCAGTGTTCAGTTCTGGAGATAAAAAGTACTGTGGTAATTTTCAGTCATGTTAAATTAATCTTACCATCCTTCCTTTATATTTGCACATATTCCAATGTGACTATGGTAGCCTACTTTTGCATACAGAGAAGAGCCATAATTACTTGATACTCACAAAGCATAGTACCCTCTAACACGTGAAAGTGGTCAGGGAAAAATATACTTCCTAGACCCTGAATGTAAATATAGATAAATAAATGTTCCATGAATACATTGTATCTTACTTATGAATTTTCTTTTATGTCCTTCAATAATATATATTATATAAAGCTATTTACAGATGTTAAATCAAAGGCTTATAAAATATCCAAATCTAAAACAAACTAAATCATACCAGTTTTTATATTTGTCTTTACATTTGAATAATGAAGTGTTACAAACCATGGGAAAATCATACATAAAATGACGTTGTAGATGAATACTCAGGGTCCGGCCCCGTGGCCAAGTGGTTAAGTTTGTGCACTCTGCTTCAGCAGCCCAGGGTTTCACCTGTTCGGATCCTGGGCGTGGACTTGGCACCACTTATCAGGCCATGCTGAGGTGGTGTCTCACATGCCACAACTAGAAGGACCCACAACTAAAATATACAACTATGTACTGGGGGATTTGGGGAGAAAAAGCAATAAAAAAAATTTTAAAAAAAAGAATACTCAGCAATGAGGTTTCTAATCACACTCTAAAGATTGTAATTGTGAAAAACTAAGAGATTAAACCCTCTCAATTTACTCTTTTAGAGGAAGAAAGAGAATCTTCTATGAACATTACATATATATTTATTAAAAAATCCTATTGCCATGTAGTTAATGGGACTATGATAGGGTCACTCTAATTTAACCTAAATGACGCCACTTAAGGTCTCTATGCCTCAGTTTTCCCACCTGTAATATGGGGATAATATTAGTACTACCTTGATTACTGAAGTAATTTCTGTGAATGTGTTGTACCTCACAGGTTGGCAAATTATGACCCACGAGCCAAATCCAGCCCACAGCCCATTTGTGTAAAGTTTTATCGGCATGCAGCTCCACCCATTAGTTTAAGTATTATCTCTGGTAGCTTTACCACTACAACAGCACAGCTGAGTGGTTCTGACAGGGACTTTGGTCTGCAAAGCTTAGAATATTTCCTATCCAGCCCTTTACAGGAAAAGTTCGCCGACCCCTGTTGTAGATGACAGATGATTGCTTAACAGAGATAGGCAGAGAGACAGACTGAAAACAACCACTTGTACAGGAAATGGGCTTCATAATACTCAAGATTTGAATTTATCCTGAAGTGTCAGAAAAGCTACATGAAGAAAGAATTTCCTCTTGTTTGGGAACATCAAAGAAGCACACTTTAGTGCTGGAATCAACCTTAGAAATTACCTAGACCATTTTTAGACAAGGAAAAAAACGTATTTTATTCTTTTTTTTTTTTTTTTTAAAGATTGGCACCTGAGCTAACATTTGTTGCCAATCTTCTTTTTTCTTCTTCTTCTTCTCCCCAAAGCCCTCCAGTACAGAGTTATATATTCTGGTTGTAGGTCCTTGTGGTTGTGCTATGTGAGACACCACCTCAGCATGGCCTGCTGAGTGGTGCTATGTCTGAACTGGCGAAACCCTGGGCAGCCAAAGCGGAGCGCGCAAACCTAACCACTCGGCCACAGGCGGGCCCCCTATTTTATTATTTACTTAAAAGTATTAAGCTATATAGTCACTATGCATAACTGCTATAGGTTTATTTCTCAGATTTTAAGAGACAAAAGGAATTATACAGACAGGACCTTAAAACATCAATAGTATTTATGGCTATTTAAAAAATAGGAAATATTAAAACAAGACATCATATTTATATATTTCTAGTCATAACAAATAATAATTAATGAAATGGACAAAACTTAACAAGACATTATAGATAGTTCTGACACTCCCTAAGTATCTCATTACCCTTCCTGATGTCATTCCCTCCCCCCACTCCGCAGAGGTTAGCAACCACTATCCTGCATTTGGAGTTTACTGCATCCACGCATGTTTTATATTACTAGTACACATGTACTATATTCCCAATAGCTCAAAACTGGAGAAAACTCAAATGACTACCAACAGGTAGGTATATAAATTGTTACATATTTATACAATGGAAGACTGTTCAGCAATAAGGCACAATTTATTGATATATATCAAATTAGATGAATCTCAGAAACATGTTGATCATGACATCAAACAAAAAAGAATACATGATATACGATTCCATTTATAAGAAGTTCTAGAAGAGGTAAAACTAAGCTAGGTGACAGAAACCAGAACAACTGGTGACTGGAGGAATAGAGGATGCTAACTGGAAAAGAGCACAAAGCAATTTGCAGGGTGATGGCAACATTCTCTATCTTGACTGGGATGGTGGTTACACAGGTATACACACTGTCAAAACTCATCACTGCACATTTAGCACCTGTGCATTTTAGCATGTGTCTTTCAACTTTAAAAAGAAAGATGGGAAAAGGCAAGAAATACCTAAAGAAATTATGAGATTGGAGTCTTGTGGAGGAAGAACTTTCCTTACAGATTCAGTTTCTTTAAACATTCTTATTTTATTCAGATAATTTCCACTTCTTCTTGAGTAAATTTCAGTGGTTTATATTTTTATAATATATATTTCATCCAAATTTCCAAATTTATTGGAATACAGTTATTCACAGTATTCTGTTATTATTTTTTAAATCTACAATATATTTACAGTCCTATTCCTAATATTATTTCGTTGTATCTTTTATAACTTGATAAAAATAACACTGAATGCTTATTAGTACTTTCTATTTTCCATGCAGTGTTCTAAGTGCTTTAAGTGCATTGCTTATTAAATATTCACAACAACACTGTAAGGGAGGTACAATTATTTTCCCCTTTACAGATGAGGTAAGCACAGAATTAATGCTCAAAGTCACACAACTGGCGTCAGGATTCAAACCCACGCAGTCAGGCTCCAGGCACCACATTCTTTACTATAATCAACAGTTTGCTAGATATTTCTCTTTTATGGATCATTTCTAAATAATCATTTTTGATTAACTGGTCCTCTTCTTATTTTATCTTTTTATTTCTTACTTTATTTCATCAATTTAACTTGTTTTGTTCTTTTCTTTCTCTGTGATTCAGGTTTACTCTGCTGTTCTTTTCTAGCATCCTGAGTTACAAAAGGCTTAACTCACCATTTAAAAAAATCCTTTTGCAATATTTTATTTAATGTTAGAGATATTCTTTTACAAGTTACAGTAGCTGCATCCCACAAGCTCTAATATGTAGTATTTTTCTTTTTGTTCTAAATATTTTGTAATTTCCATTGTGATTTTCCCTCTACCCATGCTTACAAAGAATGCATTTCAAAGTTTCAAAACATATGGACTACTTTTTAGTTTTGTTTTAATTCTATTTATTTAATTGTTTCAATGGATGAAACACTTGCTTTGTTGAAAATAAAAAAATATATAGGGGCTGGCCCTGTGGCTGAGTGGTTGAGTTCACGCACTCCGCTTCTGCAGCCCAGGGTTTCACTGATTCAGACCCTGGGCACGAACATAGCACTGCTCATCAAGCCATGCTGAGGTGATGTGCCACAGCAGAGCCAGAAGGACCTACAACTAGAATATACAACTATGTACTGGGGGGGCTTTAGGGAGAAGAAGAAAGAAAAGAATGAAGATTGTTAACAGATGTTAGCTCAGGTGCCAATCTTTAAAAAAAGAAAGAAACAAAAGAAAAAATATAAAAAGGTATAGGTTCGAAAAATTTTCCTCTCACACCTGTCCCCTCATTCCCCCGGTTCCTGTACTGCCTAAAGTAATTATTGTAGTTTCTTACCTATCCTTTCCGAGTTTCCTTTAGGTACATACAAGCAAATACAAATACATAAAATTAATTTTCACACAAATAGTATATTATGTATACCAATCTGCACATTTCTTTCTTTACTTACAACAAATCTTGGAGCCATATCAGAACAGAAAAAGCCCCATCCTTCTTCTCAGTATGCTACTGTATGATTGCGACATAATTTAGTTAATTAGTCTGCTGTTGATGAACACGAGTTTTCGCCAATCTTTTCCTTTTATAAATAACCCCGATGTAAACAACTCTGTACATATACTACTTTCATGTGTATGTACATGATGATGTCTTTAGGATAAAATTCTAAATGTGGAACTTCTAGTCAAAGACGCAAGCATTAGAAACTTTGGTAAGTACATCCAAATGGCCCTTCCATAGTTGAACCAATTCCCACTCACATGAGCATCATGTGAGAGTGCTTACTGCCCTACAGCTTCACATGAGAGTAGACTGTCAAATATTTGGACTTTTTGCCAATCTTACAGGTGAAAAGTAGTAGTAAAGTGATTATTTGAATATTCTATATTATCAGTGAGACCATCTCATATATTTAGGAGCCATTTGTATTCCTGCTTCTGTGAAATGCCCTTTGCCTATTTTTCTACTATACTGTGCTCCTTTTCTTACACATTTCCAGAAATTCTTTATATATTAGGAAGATTGCTCCTTTGTTCATTATATGCTAATCTTTTTTCCCCAGTGAACATTTGTCTTTTGACCTTGTTTATGGACTTTTCGTCCCATGCAGTCTTTTTCTGTGTGTGTTGAATTTATGAATAAAGTTTTCTTTCACGACTTTGTGGATTTTGAGTCATAACAAGAAATGTGTTTACCCGCATGTTTCATTCCATGGGAGCACTTTTAGGTTTTATTTGTTTACATTTCAATGATTAATCCATTTGG